AAGGCTAACAACTAGAAAGAACCAGCAGGGGAGTGAAGGTAAGGCTGGGTATAAATAGGGAGTGACAAAGGAGGCGCAGCTGAAGAGTGTCAGAAAATCAGGACAGGTGTGTTAATCAAGAGAGTCAGTGAGAAGGAGCAGACTAGAGCGAGAAAGAGAGAAGAGAGGAAGGTGCAGCCGGGCAAACCTGACAACAGGATTTTAGTCAAGCCGTGGGAAATCCTGTGTGCAATTTCACATGCATTTTTAACCATGTCTAAAGCCACCAGATTAAAACACAGTGTAACACTATCATTTCTCTTAAAGAGGAATCTGATGGAATGACAAGCCTGACGACTGTGATCCTGGGTGGTCTGACTGTCGTCTTCATGATGGCCACCACTGGTCTGGTGGTTAAAATCACACAACTTCAGAAAGGTACAGCTGCTGGATAAGTGTTTTACACATTAAGTTGTATGTTGCATCAAGCAGAGACAAACAAATCCACAGTTCAATATTTGGTCATTCGTACTGAAACTTTTCATCTTTTGTTACTTAGCTGCAAAGAGAGAACTGCATCCTGAGAGTGTTAGAAATTAACCCAATTCTTTAGTTGGAAGCACGAGAAGTGAGGACAGGAAAGGGCTGTTTAAAATCAACAGAAAGCTTACCGAAAGTCTGATCACATTAAAATCTTTACAGCGCTGGGATCAGAGAGATAACGCCCCCGCAGGAATTCCATCCACTGACCCCGAATTAAGGTCTTACAATACATTTTATCTTCTTGGACTGCTCCGCCCTGGACAGGGCTGCAACCTTCAATAGTTCGTGATCCTATTGGTCATTTGGTGTGAGCTGGAGCACACACTTCCATGTTGAAATATGATAAATCTAGGTATGTGTGTGTCTCAGGTGGCGGCTTGGTCTTGATCAATGGACCCCCGAATAATGGGTGGGCCTGAGTTGTAGGCACCCTGTGTGTGTGATGCTAATAAGTATGTTAAATTGGCCAGGTGATCATCTCAGGTTGTAGCCCCCGGCCTCTGCAAGACATCCCAAGACAAAGCAAAGCTTGGGATATGCTAAGTGGGTCAAGGTGTGAGTGTAAAACAGGCCTCTGTTAAAATGTAAATAGTCTGGTCACAAAGAGATGCAGACATCCTGTCTCTACACAGAAGTTACAGCATTCAAAGTCAGCAGATTCTACTTCATTACAGTTGTAAGATATATAAGCAAGGGAAATAAATGCATTAAAATAACCAAAGCTCAGTAGTTCTGGACCATCATCAATACAGCTGTAATATGTATAGACAAGGACAATAAAGTTATGACAAGTAACTAAAGGGAACTACAGGTATGAGAAGTAACTAAAGCTGATAAAGTAACTAGAGTCTATAAGACTCAAATCTTACAGGATTAGGGAGGGGACTTGTCCATTATCTTGGATGAAGTTGCTGAGGTAGTTAAGGAACTCCTCCGTGGCAAGGCTCCGGGGGTGGATGAGGTCCACTCCGAGTTTCTCAAGTCTATGGATGTTGTGGGGCTGTCTTGGCTGACATGCCTCTGCAGCATTGCGTGGGGGTTGGGGGTGGTGCCTCTGGACTGGCAGACCGGGGGGCCGCCCCCCTTTTTAAGAAGGGGGACTGGAGAGTGTGTTCCAACTATAGGGGGATCACACTTCTTAGCCTCCCCGGGAAAGTGTATTCCAGTGTACTGGAGAGGGGAATCTGGCCGACAGTCGAACCTCAGATTCAGGAGGAGCAGTGCGATTTTCGCCCCGGCCGTGGAACACTGGACCAGCTCTATACCCTCACTAGGGTGTTGGAGGGTTCATGGGGGTTTGCCCAACCAGTCTACATGTATGGATGAGAATTAGCACCTCTAAATCCGAGGCCATGGTTCTCAATTGGAAAAAGGTGGATTGCTCTCTCCGGGTTGGGGGCGAGTTGCTCCCTCAAGTGGAGGAGTTTAAGTATCTCAGGGTCTTGTTCATGAGTGAGGGAAAAATGGAGCGGCAGGTTGACAGACGGATCGGTGTGGTGTCCACAGTAATGTGGTCTCTGTACCGGTCCGTTGTGGTGAAGAAGGACCTGAGTCATAAGGTGAAGCTCTGAATTTGCCGGTCGATCTACGTTCCCACTCTCACCTATGGCGATGAACTTTGGATCATGACCGAAAGAATGAAATCGTGGATACAAGCGGCAGAAATGAGTTTCCACCGGAGAGTGGCTGGGCACACCATAGGGATAGGGTGCGGAGCTCAGTCACCAGTGAGGAGCTCAGAGTAGAGCTGCTGGTCCTCCGCGTTGAGCAGAACCAGTTGAGGTGGCTCGGGCGCCTGTTTAGGATGCCCCCTGGACGCCTCCCTGGGGAGGTTTTCCGGACATGTCCCTCCAGGAGAAGGCCTCAGGGCAGACCCAGGACACGTTGGAGAGACTATGTCTTCCGGCTGGCCTGGGAACGCCTTGGGGTCCTCCTGAGGAGCTAGAGGAGGTGTGTGGGGAGAGGGAAGTCTGGGAGGCTCTGCTTGGGCTACTGCCCCCGCGACCTGGTCTCGGATAAAGCGAATGAAGATGGATGAATGAATGTTCCCTTTACATATTTTATACATAGTTATAATATTCCAAATGATTTTTTTCTAATATTTAAAATTTTCCAATACAGTTAGTTTCGATACCCTCATTCTTGAGGAAGAAATACTTTTTCACAGTGGGATAAATGAGGGACATGCAGGGTAAATTGAGTTGAGTAAATCCTAATTCCCTTCATTGCATTCCTGTTTCCCTGTGTCCTTCTCAGAACATTTTAAGAACAGAATTCAGTTAGTTTAGCCCTTACAAATCAAGTAAACAAATGTCCTCTATCTTATCCTATTTTGTGTTGCTGATGCAGCTTTTATTATTTGTTGCTTTAGGTATGCTGCTCCACATTTACTGCGGTATCCCTTTTGAAGAAACATGTGTGGTCGGGGATGCACAGACTGGTAGGAATTAAACTTTATTTGTGTTGACACAGAAACCCCAACAAAAAAACTGCAAACTCTACAACTGATAATATGCATGAAATTGATTATTATTAATTGCATTTTATACTAATAAACCTCCTCTGTGTGTTTCCTCTGTTCTTTACCCACAGAAAATGAAAGAAATCTTCCAAAATGGTAATGCTTCATTTTTATTGCCCTACTTTTGTATACATTTAATTTTTTGTATTTCATCAACAATGGAATATGTAACTTGGACTCTATGTCTAGTTAATTAATCTTGTTTTTTTTTTTTTTTTTCTTTACCTCTGTTTAGATACATTCAAGCCTTATGGTAAGACTTTTTCCCCCTTTACATTTAGTGTTACCAAAATGCATAGCATGTATCCTTGAAGCCTAACAGACAATGTGAATGCATCATTTTGCACAGCTGATGTTTTTTTATGTTGCAATCTGCATTGTTTATGTTCATGTTTTTGTTACCAAGTCTTCTTCCCTGCCTTTGCTAGTGTACTGTATCTGAAGGCCACGATATGCTAACCCCTGGACATAGGAACATACTATAGCTTAACCTCTTACACTAAGGTGGCATATTTGAAACATATTAAAGCTTAGAGTGATACAGTAGGTGGTTTTAATATGTTTGCTTTTTAGGTTTTATGTTCAGAATGTATACATGTGCATGCTGGTTGATGTGAACCATGTATGGAGAAATGTGAAGCTAGAGGCTCACTAGATGAGGAGCCCATAGCTGTTCTAGATGTGACTTCCTGATTTGACTTTGTGTCGTAGAGAAATGTAAACAGGATGTATGAAGGCGAGAGGCTTCCTTCCTTTGCATTCACATATGGCGCAATGAATAGCGTCTTCTAGTCACACAAGCCTTGTGTAATCTCTGGTATAAGTAATGTTCTTATTGCACACTGTGTTTTGTAAGTAAGTGTAGGCCAACTTTGCCACCTTATACAAGCATAACTTTTTGTAGTGTTTGGATTTTTTTTTTCTTTGGTTGAACTTTTGTATTTTGTGCACAAACTGAAAAATAGGTGGATGGAATGCATAGCTTAGTATGTCAGAAGCATAGTGACACCTTTTGTGTACCATGTGAACTGAGATGGTTCAAATGGATCACAGCAGGGTTATTAACACATCTGAACATCATTGTCATACTGCCAATGTACAGTAGTCTGGACTTGCACTGTATGGAGCAACTTGAATGTAAAGACCAGTGCTTTTCGGGTACTCTGAACTCTTTTTGACATTGGTCTTTACATTCAAGTTGCTTTAAAAAGTGCAAGTGTTGCTGGACAATTTGTTTTCCCATTTGTTTTTACTTTGTTTGTGCACCTTGACAGTGGGTGAAGTTGTGCCAGAAGTTTCTAGTGTTTCTAGTTTCACTCTGCCTGTTTATTTGAAATTTAAGATTGATGTGAACTGTCCTGAGTAGCTCAAGTGTAATCATAATTTCTGTCCCTTTTACATTTGCTCTGCAGGTTTCATTCCCAGCATTGTTATTATTGAAGGCACTGGTAAAACCAAACAACCCATGTTAGGTTAGTAACATTTCTATAAGTAAAGATGACCTGGGATACAGATTTACTGCTGTATAAAATGCTTGTTAGTTGCCCTTTACTTGGGAGAAATATTGGAATAAATGAAACCGTTAAATCAACAGCACAATGATATTGTACCCACTGTAACTTAAGCAATAAATGTGTACTGACACAAGATTGTATTATCATTGCTTGAGAAAAATGAAGAAACATTTTATTCTCTGATAATTTTCATTGCTTCTAAATATGTGACTTATGAAAAGTGCTAAAGTATTTATTCTATATACTTTCTTCCAGGTCTGTCTCTGCTGACTTTGTGTTTCAGTCCAGGCACATCAACCCAGGTTTACCTGTGCCATGTCTGTGAGGAAATGTGTCCATCAAACAAGATTGTATGGCACCTTTCTTCTGGTGACCATTACAGCAACTACTTTGTAAGTGCCGAGCACAACAAAAATTAGACAGTGTTTAATATTTGGAACCATAATTTTATTGTACTTTGTGTTTTAGAGCTACACAAACCCTAATGAAATGAGTTTTTCATGGATGCCTGGCATGAAGTTCAGAGCCATTCTGAGGTCTCAGATAAACAAAGAACTTGAAGAAAGAGGATCTGGGTCCCTACAGGTTTGTACCTGGAGGTCTGGAATCATGTATGCTAAAAATATTTAATGTTTTTATTTTACAGTTGTCGTGGACAGTCAATCAGCAGTTAAGAAGAAAAACTGAGATCTCTCTTCATCCAGATATGTAGGGCAGCCCCCTAACAGTCAACTAGTTGTCATTAATAGAGAAACCTGTCAAACCCACTTAAGCATTGACACTGTCTAATACAAGGATGTACATTAAGACCAGATCTATTTAGTTCAACAGATACATGTGCACTTCATCCATCCATTCACTATCTATACCGCTTATTCCTGAAGAGGGGTTCGGGGGGGCTGGAGCCAATCCCAGCTGACGTCGCCCGTCTATCACAGGGCTGACACGTAGAGACGGACAACTACACACACTCGCACTCACTCCTACAGGGAATTTAGAGTCACCAGTCAACCTAAGCTGCATGTCTTTGGACTGTGGGAGGCAAACCTGTAACTGACCGAAACCCATTACATTCCTATTTTTTTTGTCAAGGAAACACTTTCAGCTGTAGTAGTTCACCGCTGCTAACCACTGTTTCATGTTTACATACCTCTGCTAAGAGGTAAAGAGACTTACTGTAGTATTTGTGCAGGGGAGATGTTGGGATGGTGTTAAATACCGGTAATTATGTGCATTTTCACTACATTTTCTCATTGCAGATTTTGCATTTACCTGAAAATCTGTTGCTAAAGCTCGAACGAAGTACCTATGCTCAAGGTACATGATTTTAGGATTTTTTCTATTGAATATTTGTTGGAGAATTTTATTAAATTGTATGGTATTGTAAATGATCTGATGTCTCTCCCCAGTTATGAATACTCTCAGTGAAAATGACAAGCTTCTCAAGTATCTTGAAGGTATGTGAACATTTTTCCCAGCACTCTTATCTAATCAATATTTAGGAAGTTTGGAGTTCAATAGAGTTCAGCTCAGATCCTTTACTTAACCCTTGTGTTCTGTTAAGAATCTTAAGTGAAAGTAGCAGAACAACAGTGTAAAAATAGTCAAGTTTTATCAAGTAAAAGTCCTGCATTCAAAATGTTACTTAAGTAAAGGTACAAAAGTATTAGCATCAAAACATACTTAAAGTAATAAAAGTGCTTATTATACAGAATGGCACATTTCACATTCCTGTATATCATATTATTGTACTATAATTACTGATGCATTATTGAGTACGTCACATTTAATGTTGCAGCTGGTAAAAAGGAAGCTAGTTTTAACCAGCTCATATGCATTTAATTTGAATTACTGCAGGGTAGCTTGTGAATTTTCCACCATAGAACAATGAGGTTTATAATTATAACGTGTTATTTGTATTAATCTCATTATGAAAAGTAACCAGTAACTAAAGTTAAAAAATAAATTCAGTGGAGTGAAAAGTACAATATTTGCTTCTAAAATGTAGTGAAGTCAAAGTATGAAGTATCAGGGAATGTAAATACTCAAAGTACAGATACCTCAAAACTGTACTTCAGTTCAATTACATTTTTATTTGTATAGCGCCAAATCACTACAAAAGTTGCTTCAGGACACTTCACAAAGTAAGGTCTAGACCTTACTACTTTTATTATTATTATAATAGAGATAAAACCATTAAATCCTCCTTGAGCAAGCACTTGGTGACAGTGGGGAGGAAAAACTCCCTTTAACGGAAGAAACCTCCGACAGACCCCGGCTCTTGGTGGGCGGCCTTCTGCCTCGACCGGTTGGGGTGAGTGAATAGAGGAGAGACAAAAGACAAAAAGCAACAAGACACAACAAACAATCACGAAAGAAAAGGTTTGACTTTTGATAGTAGTCTTAAATTCAAAGAAGCCACCTTTAACCACAGAGCTCCTTTGTGTATCAAATTTGAGGGTATAATCATAAAACGCACCAAGTTTTTTTTAACCTGTGATTTAATGTTTTGGGCCAGAAGGCAAAATCAAAAGGGCCCCCACCGAGTCCACTTCTCTGAAGACCACACATTTAGTTTTACTCTCATTGAGATTACATTACAGTGCATTGAGATTCATCTGAACTGTCAGTTGAGCGGCCTTAGTCACACTAGCATACACTCACACATACACATGTTGAAGGAGTATAATGCTACCCATATGGTTTGACTGATATGTAGTGGAGACATCCTATAGGAGGAACCTGATTTGAGTAACAGACTGAGAAATAATAGTGGAGAATTGGGAGAGGTGGGTGTTGTCCCTCACTAAGACATCATATATGCTGTTGGATTTATTTGTGTAAGTCAATTACTCTGCAGAGCATCTTGGCTTTTGATCCTGTTAACAGAAGTTCGTTAACAGAGGATCTTCTGCTGGACACTCGTTTGCCATGACACTGCACACCATAGTCCATTAAGTTTGAAAGTGCTTAGAAATAATATAAATGGAAAAAGGAAAAACCGATCCAAAGCATTAGAATAGCTACTGAGGGACCTTGTGAAACAGATATACTGTATATCTGCATTCATATGTTACATCTACTCTTTTTTACTGTCACTGTCACTTTTTTCTCTCTAGCTGGCAAGCCAAAGATGACAATGATCCAAACATACCAAAGAGACAGCAACAGGAAACATCCACTTGTTGGTCAGTAAATATACCTAACATAACACCTGATGACACCTAACAAAATGCCATTCTTATTTTCTGAATTAACGCAGCGTTGTTTTTTGGATTCAGAATTATACTGGTAATGACATTTTTCTGAATAGAAAATGTTTCCCAAACCATGCAAAAGAGACGCATGAAAGACAAGAAGACATAATGGGAAAAATGATAATACCATATCATAATACCAAATTCAAGTGAATTGATCCAAGAAGGGATTTTTACCAGTCCATCAGATGAAATTCATTCATGAACAGACATACTGTACTCTTGCTGGAGACTCCACTGCTGAGAATTTTAGTTGTTTTTGAACTAAAAATACCTTTTCTGGTTATGGTCTTGTAGGCATGCAGCATATTGTTGAATGCATTTGTACTGGATCACCTGAGAAGAGGCATTACCTCTGCACACTCTGCAACCTAACTTTTGCCTGGTGCATGATCATCAAACATGTCCTGAGCTTTGACCACATCCACTGTTACTTTGTAAGTAGTGTTGAAAATTAGTTTGCTTTATTTGTTCTCATTTGCTCTAAGTCCTTTATTTTGCTTTTATTTGCTTTATTTTAATGTTTTACAAGGCTGATAAGAGTGAGAGCCTTTTTTGATGTTATGTGGAGAATCATCAGTTTTGCTTATTTGTCTAACAACTGACAGTACAGAGGTCATTAGTCTGTCTGGTGACTTCAGTATGTCATCTGAGGATGCCTGTCTGGCACAGTGGCACCAAAATAACCCATGTGTTGTTGATTCAGCTGCTGCGGGAGCTGATAACAGGCCTTTTTTCACTGCAGACATTTTGATGTGTAGCACAGGTGTCAATAATAACAATAATGGCCAAATGGTCATTTATCTGTTTTAGTTTCAGGGTCCTTGTGTTGGCTGTGTGTCACACTGTCATGACTTACTGGGACACAGATATAATAATAATACAGAGAAAGTCTCCTCCTCTCTATTCCTGCTTCTCAGACACTTGTTACTTTCATATGGCTCTGGCTTTCCTTTCTATGAAAGCTCGCACTATTCCTACTTGTTAAAACAGTCTTCAGATAGCTATGCTCTATCCTGAGAATGTGAATGTATGAGGTGTCTTATGTCATCACTGTCATCACAGAGTTGATTCATTTGGAATACTTTGACATATACATACAGTATGCAAGATGGTCCCGTTCAGCAATACATGATGCCCCAGGTTAACAGGACCTACATTTAACTCGAACAGCTACACCGAGGCATCAACCCTTGCTAAGATTTGTTTAATACTAAGTAAACAGCTTATTAAAGTCATGTGATTCTTTGATTGCTCTGATTGTACTGTAATGCTGCTGGCTGCACTTGCCACTATCTACCTTAGATATAGTTGTTTTTATTCTGATGTCGGGTCAGTTGCTGGTATGTTTAGGTAATTAAGCTGCAGTCAGTATTGTTTTCTGTGTTTGTAATTTACAGAAAGTGTGGCACCCCTCTACTTTGGTGTCAAGGGAATCCTACAGGGACTACACCAACAACTTTGTCTACAAGATACAGAATTTAGCAAAGCAGTCAGAGGAAATTCATGGAACTGTCAACACTGATATGAAGGTAATATTGTTTACAAAGTCCTGTAGTGCATGTGCAATGAGTACACTTGTTTCCCCTTTCCCAAATTGAGGTTTTTGCTTGATTTAAAGCTAACCTGTATGGAATTCTGTTGCAGCAAGTGATCCTGAAGCCTGCTGAATTCACATCAGTGAATATCAGTAGTTATGCAGAAGGTAGGTACTTTTTCGTTTCTACTATATAGTATTTCTTTCAGTGTACCAGACATTACATGGAACCCAGGATAATGATTTTCTAACTGAACCTATGGTGGCTTTTAGCTTTTGAGAAACTAAAATCCATAACAAAGGAAGACAAGGAGCACTTGATTCCAAACATCGTACCAGGGATCCAGCTGGGTATGTATATTGTCTCGAGGACCAGCTAACCAGTTTCAGGCTGTGTCTTACACCACTTATGACTGACCTGGTCCTTACATGGAAGTCACAATACTGATTCTCTAATTGGGTCTATGGTGGCTTTTAGTTTTAAAGAAACCAAATTCCATCAAAGAGGAAAACAAGGAGAGCAGCTTGATGACAAACGCAGCACCAGTGATCACACCAGGTACACAGAACTTTAGTTGGACCAACTAACCTGTTTGAGACCGTTTGTTTTGTATCAGTCATGACCCACCTGTTTCCTTATATTGAACACAAGATAATGATTTTCTAACTGGGTCTATGGTGGCTTTTAGTTACGAAGAAACCGGATTCCATCAAAGAGGAGAACAAGGAGAGCAGCTTGATGACAAACACAATACCAGTGATCACACCAGGTACGTAGAACTTTAGTTGGACCAACTAACCTGTTTGAGACCGTTTGTTTTGTATCAGTCATGACCCACCTGTTTCCTTATATTGAACACAAGATAATGATTTTCTAACTGGGTCTATGGTGGCTTTTAGTTACGAAGAAACCGGATTCCATCAAAGAGGAGAACAAGGAGAGCAGCTTGATGAAAAACACAATACCAGTGATCACACCAGGTACGTAGAATTTTAGTTGGACACTGTCCACTTGATCAGCTAACCTGTTTGAGACCGTTTGTTTTGTATCAGTTATGACTCACATGTTTCCTTACATGGAACAGAAGATAATGATTTTCTAACTGGGTCTATGGTGGCTTTTAGTTACGAAGAAACCGGATTCCATCAAAGAGGAAAACAAGGAGAGCAGCTTGATGAAAAACACAACACCAGTGATCACACCAGGTACGTAGAACTTTAGTTGGACCAACTAACCTGTTTGAGGCCGTTTTGTTTTGTATCAGTCATGACCCACCTGTTTCCTTATATTGAACACAAGATAATGATTTTCTAACTGGGTCTATGGTGGCTTTTAGTTACGAAGAAACCGGATTCCATCAAAGAGGAAAACAAGGAGAGCAGCTTGATGAAAAACGCAACACCAGTGATCACACCAGGTACGTAGAATTTTAGTTGGACACTGTCCAGTTGACCAGTCGACCAGCTAACCTGTTTCAGGTTGTTGTGGTAATGTGGAACATGTATGCTTGCCCTTTTAGCACCATTGTTATAATCCTGTTTCTAATGCAAGACATTTCCCTCAGCCTTATATATGAAATTTAACCAGTGTATGTTTTAGTGGAGTGTCGTGTAAACACAAGCTCAGTCACACACAGAGGGGTGGCTGATGGCATATGAATATATCATATATACTTTATGTGAGACTCTTTAAGACCCCCAGAGTGCAACTTTACCCACGCTGGGAACTCGCTGACCATAGTATACCCAGAGAATCATGCGATGATCCCTTAATAGTCCTGGAAGCGACTGCCGACTCGACCGTGGGGTCTCTATCTTGTTCCCTTATCGAGCTGACCTGTCAGGATTGGGCCAGGATCACCGTGCCACGGTCAAGCAGCTGCTAACAGACCGCTCTCAGTGTATAGCACCTATAAGCCAGTTCCATGCAGTATGGTAACCACTCTATCTTTTTGGGTGTGTGTATTTGCAATACCTCCCTGCCAAGTAGAGACAAATACTGCAGCACCGGACACCTGATCATCATATAGCGGGAGGGGTCTCTTGTCTTTCTCCCTGGGGGAGACCTGGGTCTGGTGAGGTGTTTGAAGAAGGCAGCAGAAGAATCCGACTAAGTTTAAAAAGTTGAATAAAAAATTTTACAAGTTTTTAAGTTTACAAAATTGATTTTCTGAGATACAAGAGTAATATGAACCAAACTAATACAATCTGAAACTATGTCAGAGCAGGTGTACAGCCTGAAATGGTCCTCTGTCTCTTGTCTCGTGTTGTGTGGTTTCAATCAGTTGGGTGCATATGCGAGGTGAGGTCAAACAGGTGTCAAACGGCAAGGAGGCTGTCTGGTTCGACATCCATACAAGGACATGTTTTTCACTGTAGACACTCTAACACAGTAGACTATTTTCACAAGTACACAAATAACTGCATAGCAACAGCCAATATGCTAATAAAGATGCTGATATAAATTTGGTTTCAGATGTGGAAATCAATAAGGAGGCTCTCAGGTAGTCTTTCTGTAATTTATTAACCAAATCAGACAATAGCATAAGACGGTACCAGTGTCTTGATCAAGAGGTCACACACTCAGTGCAAAGAGTCAGTGAGTGTGTAGTGGTTAGCAATAAACCAGATTTAGATATTATTTGTGTTAGTTGTGTAAGGATGTAAGGCTGAGCTAAGTGTGTACGGAAGCTTGATCTGTCTCTGGCGCAGGCAAGAATATCTTGGGCTGTGTCCCTTGTTTAGCCTAGGGGTCAACATCCTGAGTGACTTCCTCCTCAGAGAGGGAATGATGGATATATTGTAGCTGTAGCCTTATGTGAACTGTTCGTGTGCTCTGTTCAGGTTTAGAAAAAGGAAATGTACGCTTGGTCAATGTGACCCAGAAGGTCATGTACTGGACAGTTTAGACAATGCTTGGAAGAAGGTGTGTGTGGGTAGCTGGCATGGGACCGCGTCTTCATGGCTCCGGCCGTGCAGAGCTGTGTGAGTATGAGCAGATAAAAAGCTGGGTTGGAGCAGAAGAAGAGAGAGAGGATGACCATGCTAACGTGAACAGTAAACCACGTACATTTGGGGACCCAGCCGGCTGGGGGGAGACGCTGACCGACTCGGGACTGACATCAAATGACTTGACTGAATGACTGACTGGCGCCCTGACAATCTTCTAATGCTTTATCTATCACATTGAGGAGGAGAGTCTCTGTTCTCTGCTCCCTAACTACAAGATTATGTGTTTAAATACTACTCTATTCAGAATAATTGTAATATTAAATGATCCTTTAAATTGGGATGGTTTGTCTGAATTAATTTAGTAGGCATCACCACTCTAGCCACGACAAACCTTGGTGTTGTCTATGCAGGTAGGAGTCCCATCTTGACTGTCCTCAAAGAATTTGTGTGAAGGGAACCAAATAACTTGATTTTATCCACTTACAAGCGCTTGTAGAATTTTAAATAAAAGTCCGGACTTAAATATGTGTGTTTGACTATAGGTTGAGTATATGCATTGTAAATTACTTCCTGTTTTATGAAATGTGACAAACGTTTGTTTAAGAAAATATATATTGGGTTATATTAATGGTTTGTACAGGCTGTAGATATATTGTAGATATACTGAATCTGTTACTGCGCAGTTTGTTTTTTTCTTTTGGGTGCGGTCCGCTGTTGTGTGTGTGTGTGTGCGTGAGTGCGAGTATTTTAACTGCATCTGTAGAGGCGCGTGTGTGTGTGTGTGTGTGTGTGTGTGTGTGTGTGTGTCCTCTGTGTGATGTTGGAGGCAAAGTCATATCATATAATTAGTAATAAAGAATAATATTAATATTAGGATAATAATAATGATAATGATGATGATGAGATGTTTTATAGGTGCTATAGTTGTTAAAACCTGAGGTTTATGAAGTTTCTAGTCTTTGAAGGTAGGTAGTGTAGTGTTTTGTAGTTTATAGTCTGGTGTTTTTGTGTTTTTTCAAGTTGCCATGGTCTGGAGAGTGAAGGTTTATTTTGGTTGCTGTGGTCGTTTCAGGAGAGAATAGTGGCTTGTTGCTTTAATGTGCACAGTGCTGTATCTGCTGCCTGTATTTTTTTTAAAGAGGGGAAGTGAGAAGTTTAACTCTCGCCAGTCAGACACAGACTGGACGTGGGTGTTGGTCAGATGGAAAGGAAGATCTTCACATTAGGTGGAAACTTGCACCATGGTCAGCACTGTGTGTTCTTCCTAATAAACAATGACCACTAATGGTGCAACTTCTGACTGTCTAAGTCAACTGTTGTCCCTTCCTGTGACTTCTCCTTGACTGCAGCCTTGTCGCAAGCTTTCACCTCTGAACAGCATTACCACTGTAGTGGAATTTTTATGATAGCACCCTTTAGGTTTATTAGCTGATGCTTTCGAGTCATGGTATGCAGTTATTTGTGTACTTGTGACACTAGACAGTTGACTGTATCAGCATGTGTCAGCATGTTTGTAGTGATAAGCATGCCTTTGTGTGAATGCTGAACTAGATAACATGTATTCTGTTTCCTTTATCTGTTTGAGCATCTGTTTTCTGTTATTGTATGCTGAGTATAAGAAGGGCAGTCACATTCTGTTTATTGAGCTTCTTTGCAACAGACTGGTTTAGACACTCTGTTTAGAGGTCGCTCCTTCCTGCTGGAATAAATATGGAATAACTCTCAGAAGTGATGTTAAGTATTTATTTTACACTCACTAAGCTTTAATAGATAATTTTTCCGCAACACCACATTGCCACCATCTGGTTGTCACATCAGAAACTTTAACATGTACCTAGCAGTAAGCAGCATTTGTTTATTAGCATTGTCAGTCAGGTTTTATGGCCCCGGGTCCCAGGGTGACACAAAACAGGAAAACTGTATCACGATGCTATTGCTTAGGAGGCAACGAGGGACAGCGGATCTCACATGTTCTCAGAATTCCCAAAAGGTGCAAGATCCCTTTCAGACCTTTTGAGTTAAAAGCTGTTGGATATTTGATAAACTCCAGAAGAAACACAATGTATTCAATTTCCTTTGTTTAAAATAAAATACTATTGAACGCATTTTACATTTAACAGCATATGGTATTAAAAACTAAATACTTTTCTTTTGTCTTTTCTTTGTAGAACATACCACAGAGGATGTTGCATCATTGTACAAACTACGCTGTCAGGTGACGAATTATAATTTCACTACAAATGCCTGGATGTTATGATTGTACCCAGTACTTGTGAAGAACACGGAGTTTGTTTAATGGCCTGAACTCCATTTTTCTTTTGTTTCTTTCTTGTCTTTCCTCTGTAACAGAACTGCAGTGTAATCTTTAAGACTCTGAGTCAGTATTTGATACATTTGTCAAATTATGAGCACAAACAGGTACGGTAACATTATCATCCTACAGAAAAAGTACTTTTGATGATTCATGATAGGCCACAACAGCCTATCTTATATGTGGCATGTCCATAATGTTTTTCCCCAGATGTTGGAGAGAGTCGAGTGTCAAAACATTAACGCTGACAAAGGTACACATTCACCTTTCTCTGTTTTCTCATATTTATGTGTGTTGTTACGCTCATTTAAATAAGATGTAACTATATTCCTCTTTTATCACAGCTAACAGAGCCAATGATTCTAACTGGACAGGTACAGTACATTTCTCTCCTGGGGAAACATGCTGCAATACTTTGAGTCATTAGGTTAAAACAGTAGAGAAAACAGTTTGGTCATAAGGTCTGGAAATGAAATGAATCTAAATCTGTCAAAACACATTATATACCATATTAATATATAGTCTTCACACAATGAGCTTCGTATTTGAAAATATGGTTGAAGAATTTTCATATTTTTTATAATTATAGTAAAAACTATGTTTTCATCTTGGAAAATCATGACGTTTTTCTGTATTTCTGGTACAAAGTTAAATTTGCTTCATGCCTGCTGTAATAAAAAAAAATACAGTTGATTACAGTATTTATTCAGCTCTTTTTTTAACCCTTTCTTTTAAATACTAGGAAGGAAACCCTATCTGTACCTATACGCGTATGTGAAGAATAGAGCAAAGCGAAATCAACTGGTTGTCGGTGAGCTGACCTTGTGGTTTCATTGTTGTAAAGTGTTAAACTGTAAAATATTTATTTTGCCATTTATTTTAGTTTTTTTATTGTTCACTTGTTTAGGTGCACCCCTGGTCGTGACGTGTCTCAGCAGCCAGCGTGCAGCTATTTATATCTGCTTTGCCTGCGAAGAGTGTTTTCCCAACAGCTGTCTCGCACTACATTTTGAGTCTCACAAACATCTCATAAAAACACTGGTGAGTTTATTGAAGTTATTCTCTTGAATGTTTTGTGTTGGCCTCCTGAGCCAAAGCCGCCCCATGTGTACTGTATATGTGCATATGCTCTTAAGTAGTATGATACATAATCTACTCATACCACTTAGTGTAAGGAATCAATGACAATGAGTAGAAATCAGTTTTGTTATTGTTGCATCGTCATTACACTGAGATTGGCTTAAAGAGTCATCTGTGCTTGTCACAATCAAATAACCCTTATTACACTGTTGCAAAATCAATGGTAGTTCATCACAACTGCAGAATCAGATTTTCCTTTATTTATTTATTTATTTTTTTAGCTGTACCTGAATCCCTGGAGGCTCCCTTTTGGCTGGGAGAACCATCTGGATGTTGAAGGCTTGATGTCAGTGGCATTGGAAGAAGAGAAGAAAATAGAACCAAACCAGACCTCACTGAAGGTAACATTCCAAATGAGTGCACTGGAATAGACTCTTAATCACGGAGGTATTCAGTTTGCAGAACACGGACACATCTTGCTGAGTCCAAAAAAAAAGTTTTAATTCACAAAGACTCACAACTCTGTCAACTGCTCCCTTTTAAAAACAATATTTATTACATTTTCAATTAGTACAGTTTTTGGAGCCCAAACTGGCTCTTCTTCGGGGACAGAGGAATCAGGTTAATCTAGGTGTGTGTCACTGGTTAAACAGCCATGATGTGGGTGTAGCTTCAGCCACAGAACCAATGCAGTAACAGCTGGTTATGTAATTCGGACAAACTAAAGACATCATATATCAACTGGACAAAACAAGAACTGGGCTGTTTGTAAGGAAGCTGCCTTTTGGGGAACTATCTGCTGAACACCAAACTCAAGTGCATCGTCTGAGCTGCTTCCTCATCTGTTGACCACAACATACTGTATAGGACTGCACTGACTTGGTTTGCAGAGAGAGAGAGACCTGGTCCTGACCTCCAAGCTCAGGAAGAAGGAGTTGTTGTTTGTTTGTACTAGCCTTATTTTTTGAACCCTCACTATACCCAACCTTAGACACAAGCTTGCACTAGGACTCTGAAGTCTGGATTTTGGAGTCATAGCCCTTATTTATATGTAGCCAAAAACAGCTCTTTCCGGACTCTGAAGTCTGGATTTTGGAGTCAGAGCCCTTATTTATATGTAGCCAAAAGCAGCTCTTTTTATTAGCAGAACAGCTAGCTGTAGGCAAGGAGGCTGATTTTAATATCTTACCAGCCCATGTCACACTTCAGGTTCTGTGGTTGAAAGGACCTGACTATTCAAACAATGACACACACCTGGGTTCACTTGATGCCTCCATACCTGAAAAGGAGCCAGAGTGCCCTCAAAATGTATTTTTTCTAAACGTAATAAAAACGATTTTTAAAAGGGATCGGATGAGAGAGGAGCAGGGTATTGTGAAAACATACTGTATTACTAAGGTATTCATTTTTGCGCAGAAATGTTCAGAAACACTTTTACCATTTTCATAGCATACAAACTAATATTCTGTCTAAAAGGCAATAATCAAGTCAACACTAACTGAAAATTGTTTTTCTTTCTCAGGTTTTTGATATCCCATTGAGGATATTTTTGAGCCCCCCATTTAATTACCAAAAAGGTAGTAATTATTATTATTATTATTATTATTATTATTATTTTTTATTTTTATTTTTTTTTATTGGTTTTCAAATTATGCAGTGAAAGTTAAGAAGAGAAACTTGCTGTGTCTTTGCTCTGTTCAGTGAAATGGTAAACTGTATGTAAAAATGGATGACATGACCGCTCCAGAAGTGAAGCTACCACAGATTGATTGCTCCCTGCTAACTGGGTGCACTATGTTCATAAACCCGGCCCCTCCATGTTAGAGGGTGGAGACATGAGCCAAACTAAAAATTTAATGTATCATCAATAACTTTTCCCAGATGGGTTTTCTGTCATTTTAGGTACCGTAGATATTATCACACTGATTTGTGTAAACATGTTCATTTTTCTAGTAAGCTTGTTTTAAAGTTATTTGTTCATGTTTATGCAGCTGATTTGCAGATAATTTCATAGTGCTGATAGATCCACCTCTGGTTGCTACTGCACAGAATCTGGTTGCAAAATGCATCACCAAAGCAGGATGGCCATCCCCTATATTGCTGATATTTTGGCATCACTTTTGCACAGTGGCAGGAAGTGTTGATGCATCATCCATTTTCAGACAGTCTATGATTTAAACCCTTTGTTGTTGATTGTTTTATGAGGTAACAAATTCATGCACACACAAAGGTTTTCAGGTTTGTTTGCATCTGTACGTTTCCCCACATAGCTATTTTGTGTTTTAGCCTGCATGAACAACATTAAAATCTAAAAAAGGGACCAGCAGTTTAATTACGTTGTCTGATTGTTGATTTTTGTTTGCAGTGATGGATCAGCTTAGTCTATGCCACACTTTCTTAAAAAGTGAAGGTTAGTGATAAAAGTTTTCTTAGTCTTAAGTAATATAAATTAAATTATTTGCATTGATTACTTTAATCTGACTTGTTCATGTTGTAGTTCCGTACAGCAAACTCGAACAGACTGACAGATTCCCTTTGCTCGGTGAGTTCTACTGGAAGAAAAAAGTCTTGCCAGAATCATAAATGCACTATGGATGTTTTTGACTTTTCCTCATTTCCTTATTGTAGGAAATCAGTTCCTGGTCACCCACACTGCATGCGATAGTCAGCTTGAGTCCAGACAAGTGGGATATCTGTGTTTGCTCTGCCGGAAGAGATTGATGAACAGTGAAAGCTACGCTCATGTATTCAGTCGGGAACATGTTGAAAGATTTCTGGTAAGAATCGTTACTCTTGACACTTTTTATTGCATTATTTTGTCCATTAATGTTGACTGTTTTGTCCTCATCTTTGCTCAGTACATGAGAGTATTTGGAATACCCAAACGGTGTTGCACAAAGGCCTAGCAAACAACTGCAACATAGTAAATAGTATTACAAAAAAAAATCATATACTGTATGGTTTTAATTTTTTTAAAAAGCAAGCTAAACAAAACCTTTTTAGAAATCTGGAATAGATGTCTTATATTTGAAAAACAAAAAAGCACACATAACTACAATATAGGTAGAAATGATTGGATAAATATGTGTGGTACGTTAGATATTGTGTACATGTAGTCAGCAACATTTGACTACAGCTTTTTTGTGTGTATGTAGAACTGTGTCCACCCAGGATCATTGGATTCAAGCACTGATACAGAAACCTTACTGGACTTGGCAAAGCAGGCAGCACATATTCACTCCATATCACATGTACAGGTATTTTGTGCCAGAAATTGTATTTTTGCACCATCCTCATTATGCATCTCCTCTAGCCATGTGCCAGTACCTTTTGTTTAAAATTTCTGTTTTCAAAGCATGTAGAGTTGGCCACGCACATCTGGGAACCATGCGGCTACATCAAGGGTGAGTATATGTAATACAGTGAATGTCTCACATTATCATCTGTAACTGTGAATTGGTTTCTTGATTATTCTTGCACCACTTTTTCCAGCAAAAAGGATTGTGGCAGCTGCAAAGAGAAGAAGTGGACAAGGACCACTCGAACCCAACATAAAACCTAAAATGGCATTGTGTAAGCCCAGCCAAAATATTAACTAAATACTATGACTTGTAAAAATTTTATGTGCAGTGTGAGCTTAAGTGATAGAGCTAGTGAGACATTTCATTTTGGAATACTTAAGGCTTGGGTTCACATGGCAGCCAAATACAGTATACCCTCGTGACTACATCACATTATGTGTTATGTATGTTTCACAGTCCCCAGGAAAACTCTGGAACAAGTGGTCAAAAGCAATGTGGGACACAACAGCCAGAATGACAGCAGGAAAACTGAGAGTGGTGAGAACAAGACCAGTCAAATATCTAGAGACAACAGTGAGACTCTGCTGAAAAAGATTTCAGTAGTTGGTGCTGAAATCGCCAATAAACACAGTGTAAAAAGTGAAGAAAATGCAGAAAAAGATGTCAACAAGAAGGCTCCTAAACCAAGTGAAAACAAATTAGACAAAGAAAGAGATGGGACTGGAAGAGAAAGGAGCAAAAGTAGCAAGGATGTCCTGACACAGGTGAAGAATTACATGAGCAAAGACAATGTAACAAAGGGGCCAAACACCATGTGTGAAAAATCACTAGAGGACACACATAGTGGTGGACTAAAGCAGGTGACCACCACTGCCAAGGAAACGAGTGGCAAACCAAGTCACAAAACTGTAAACAATGAAGGTATTTAAATGCCATATTTAAGTTTGTGCAAGATTTTTCTCTATGTTTCTGTGAAAATGTGGTGATTTATGATTCTTACAGCACCTTTTCATGTGAGCCACCAAAAAGAAACTGATTTGTGGCAGTACATCAAGAAGGACGACCGAGATCCCGTGGTTGGTCAGTGTTGTTTTTTAACTTGGGTTTGAGAGTTTACTTCTAATAAGTAATAATTAGAGTGCTGCACTAAGGAGTCCTTTTTTATGTTGTTAATCTAATTGGTCAGATCTCTGTAGTTTTATACAAGGTGACATGATCAGTTGAGCTCACTCTCAATTTCTTATTTTTTGTTTTTCTTAAACAAGGGGGGTGTTAAAATGTCTTTGGAACTTAAATGATGGAACGAATGAAAAGTGAGAGAGGAAATCTGTGAATAGCCATTTCTTGCCACATAATATTAATATTGAACAATATATTTTCTAGGCTTAAGTTCCCTTTTTGAATGCCATTGTGGCCAGCATGACCCCATCTACCTGTGTGAGTGCTGCCATCTGATGATCCCAGAGAATAATATCATCGAACACCTCATTGGATTTCACCACCAGAAGATGTACCTGGTGAGCAAATATTAAGGATAAGTGTTGATTTAATCAAGTTTGTCTTAGTAAAATTATCATGTGCTGTATGCACTTGGAACGGTTGATTGGTCAGTATAGTTATTTCTGTACTTCATACTAGCCATCTCTTTGGAGTGATTACACTGTAAAAAATCCATAAGTGCATTCCAAGTCAGCCAAATTTTCCTTACTGAACTCCAGTAGTGACATCCTGGCAATTGCATGCAGCAAACACACAACTAAAGTGACAAAGGCACTCATGCATGTGTATGTGTCTAACATCAGGTATTACAGAATTTCCCACTTCCAACCTGGATGGACAAGAGTCACGAAGTCAAATGTTTGGCTGCTTCGTTTGAAAAAAATAAAGGCTATGGAGAAGCTCAGGTTTGGTCCTCGCCTAAATTCTTATACTTGCTGACATGGTTGTTACTTCACTGTCCTGTTCAGTGTTGGTGAAAAGATGTAGGCAAAACAACTGAGATAAATAGCTGAAAGATTTGAACAGATTTCAAGATGTTTTACTAACTGTTGTTTTTGGCTGAATTTCAGGTTATTGATATGGATGAAGAGAATTACAATATCATCTTAAAACAAAACTTTGATTCAGGTAAGGGTACAGCCGTTCTTAACTTTGAGCATGTATTTTTTTGGTTGAAGCTGGTGTCACAATTTCCCATCAACATCACATCTTATCTGGTCATGTATCTCCTGGAATGTCTAATGCAGGAATGGGCAATTCTGGTCCTCAGGGTCCGCTGCCTTGCTTGTTTTCCAGCTATTCCTGCCCTACCCACTGCTGATTACATGGATCAGGTGTGTTCTGTCAATCAGAAGCTGGAAGATAACAATCTTAGATGAAGGTAGAGTAAGGAAAGACAAAGTGAATCGGTATCTTCCAGCTTCTTACTGACTGAACACACCTGAATCAGGTAATCAGCAGCACGCAGGGCAGGGATAGTTTGAAAACAAGCAGGGCAGCGGCCATCGAGGACCAGAATTGTCCAACCCTGGTAGTCTTCAGGAGAAATGTCTCCACATACCGTGTTCATGGCACATCTACTAAAGATGTCTGGTCATAAATCTTCCACATCCATACAGAACAGAACTCCTCTATGGGGTTTAGGAAGTGGTTATAGTACTGAGATCCTGGGATGTGCAGCAGACCAGTCTATCTCTGCAGCAGAGTGGTGGGATGCCATGTTATCCCACTAAACACAGGGCACCTGGGTAGGCATTCAGCTGCTCTTGGAATGATTTATTATTTCTTTGTATTGAGAACATTTTGCTAAGATTTTCAAAATATTTCAATACTGTTACTGCCTAAATGCACACTATTTGCTATTATTCTGTTTAAAAACAGTTTTGAAAACTGCATTTGAAAGATGTGCTGCAAATATGTAGTGTTTTGCACATGTTGGAGTATAAATGAATAAAGAGTTCATGGATTGAATATGTTTTGTGTGGGACTAATGACAAAGAATTCACCGTTTGATCCACACAAACCTCCGGTTTGCTGATTTTATGAAGAGTTTTGAAAATGTGACTTCAGTTTTGACCAGGGCATATTAAAAATCAGGAAAAAAAAAGTTAATCGAGTGAGTCTGAACTTGTATTTTCCATCCTTTTCACAGCCATACAGACTGTGAAGATGCTTCAGGCTCAGCAGAACAGTGCATATGAACTCACTTTCAATTCATCTCTGTCTGGTGTTCAACCTGTCGACATCTCAGCCACCCTTCACACTGAAACTGAGGCCTGCTTTGTGATGGATGACATCCAGGTCAGTCAATGAAATTATTTTCTTCTTACATTTGTCATACAGAATTCAAAAGGCATGCTGAGCTGACGAAACCAGTAAGAAGAAAATGGAACTTTTTATCACCGTAGCTGACAAGATTTGTAAGGAGCACTTCAGAAAGGGCTGAAGGGCTTAGCGCAAGCAGCATACTCACTCTATTGCTTTAGTGAATGAGTCTGCATTTGCTGTCTTTTAAATGTTGTGGATGGTTTTCATGGTTGGCTGCCTCCTGCTTTCTTTCAAACTGTGGTAGTGGGAACGGGGCAGGACCCAGTAAAGATGTCTGGAGACCGGAGAGTAGCTTCAAAGAATTCTTTATTTCATGCAGCATGGAGAGAAGTCGTACACAGCTTTGCAGTTGCCCAGAGTTCTCTGAGTTCTTTATACCAAAGTGATACAAAACATATCTATAGAACTCATACCGTTATCTCACATCTAACAACTCGCATACCTTCTCCAGCTGCCTTTGCAACATCAAAAGCACAGCGAGACCTTGACACTTGGTGAGATCTCCACCCTCCCTTGTCTCAATACACATTCATGGGTGCTGGACATAAATCTTGCTTGCAATACTCAAACTATGCACACTTAAGCTGTTCAAAATGTATTAAAGCTGACTGATAAGCAGTGCAAGAATGACTACAGGTCCACGGACCATTGGATTTACAAGTTTCACATTGTGTCCTTTTAAAAAACGAAATCATCAGTTTCTGTGTTGTAAGATTTGAGTCCCATAGACTCTAGCCACTTCGTCAGCTTTAGCCACTACTCATACCTGTAGTTCCTTTTAGCCACCCTTCACAACTTTATCCCACTTGTCTATGCACACTACAGCTGCACTGATGATTGTCCAGAACCACCGAGCCCCGGTTATTTTAATGCATTTGTTTCCCTTGCTTATATATCTTACAGCTGTAATGAAGTAGAATCTGCTGACTTTGAATGCTGTAACTTTTGTGTAGAGACCGGACGTATGCATCTCTGTGTGACCAGACAGCCAATTCACATTTTAACAAAGACAAGTTGGCTTGTTTTGCACCCACACCTAGACCCACTTAGCATAGTCCAAGTTCTGCTTTATCTTGGGATGTCCTGCAGAGACCAGGGGCCCACAACCTGAGATGACCACCTGGCCAGTTTAACATACTTATTAGCATCACACACACACAGACACCTGGTGTAGATCACATTCCAGCAAGGAGGAGCCAATCCCGGCCGGCAATCGGGCGAAGGCGGGGTACACCCTGGACAGGTCGCCAATCCATTGCAGGGCTCCTTTGATAAATTCTGTAGCACATTTCATTTTAGCCCTACAAAATATTTTGTAGTTTTCACCCATGGTTAAAGGTTGTTGATAATTTACAGTCTATTTAAACAATTTCTGTCTTGCCAGATAGTAATTTGAATTGCTGGGATTGTTTTTGAAATCTTTGCAGACTAATTTACTACATTGATCCTCAGGGTGCAAATTTACATTAGACTGTTTATTGTATTGTTGTAAAGAGTCTGGAATTGGAAGCAGAGATACTAAGTCATCTAAGAAAATAGGTTTGTACATCATAAAATGTACTGAAAAAGTCTCAGCAATGCAATAATAATTCTGGTATGTACCTCTTTACCAGCTGAAAGACAAGCTATCTAATAAATATGTTTTATTCCAAAGGTGGTGGATATGGTGATTGATAATGATTCAGAAGACTCAAAGATACAGCCATCCCCGGTGACTGCAGCTGTGTCAGTAATTACTGAAACCACATCCAAAACAACTGAATCAACTGAAGATGTCAAAAGGACCCATATCACAGTGCCAGAATCACGTGGCAATGCGGACAGCCATCTGCCTGTTTTCAGAAGTAGTGAAGATGCATCAAATCTGCATGTGTTCAGAGGTGGAGCAAACACAACCAGCTTGCAGCCTGATTCCACCAGAAGTAATTTTAATGATAAAATAGCTCCAACCACAATGGTGGAACCATTAAAAATGGAAATGGTGAGGCCGTCTCAGACTGCAGCAACTTCAGATTCTCCTGTAACCACACCCACTGAGTCCATGACCCCCATCTCCAAATATACAGCCAGATCTTCTAATTGTACTCCAGACACCACCAAATCAACAGCTGTCTCTGAACTTTTATCCCCCACCTCAAGCCTTACTACAGTGGCATCCAGCTATACTCTAGCCACCACCAAACTGAGAGAAAATGCCTACAAAAGTATAGAAACCACCTCTGGAGCTTCTTCCACCAACAGACTACCTGCAGCCAATCCCAGTTCCAGTACAACTGCCACAAATGCGCCTTCCACCTTCAACAGTACTATAACAAATACCAAATTGCCAGCAACTGCCCCCACCTACGCTGCATCCGCTTCCAAAAATAAAGCAGCCTCTACCAAACCAACAGGATCCACCTCTAGTACGACCATCTCAAATACAGCCTCGGCCACAAAATCTGCATCTGCATCTGTGTTGAAACCACAGGAAGGCAGTACTGGCGCCGCATCCAAATATACTGCAACTTCACATAAAGCTGCACTGACCTCTCAAACAGGATCCATGGCGGTGTGTGAAGCCACTCGTAGAACTGCACCCTCCTCCAAAATTGAGAACAACTCTAAAAATTCTGAAATGTCAGGCAAGACAGTCACACTGGAAGCAAATGCTGATGTCGCACCACATGTTCATAAGAGCAAGCCACCTGCTGCTCCCCCCGTGACCAGAGCCACACCTGTCCTGTCTGAACAAAAGAGTTCACCCAAAGAGTCTTCGCCTACTTCCATGACTAAGATGGAGCCAAACAAAGGCCTTGCTATAGTTGGTAAATAGGATTAGTTGTATAGGATGAACTATTCAGTAAGTCTGTTAATTCCATCCCAGTGAACTTCTTTTGATTTTAATCAGAAGTCTGCATATTTGTTTACTTTATAGGCAGAGACCACGTGATTCTTCTGCACTGTGGAAAAAGCCAACAGTCCTACTGTGACCTGTGTTCAGTCAGAATGGAAAGTTCCAGTCATTTGAGCAGCGTTAAACACTGCCGTAACTTTATGGTATGTGTTTTATAAGACTTGTTGTAGAAAATGTACGAAGAATGTAAGATAAGGTAGTATTATCAATATTAACTGTGTGCTTGGAATTTTCTTATTAGAAAATGAAAGATCCTGAATGGACTCAAAAAGAAAGCAGTTTGGCCAAGAGGGTGGCCTTCTGGGCTGAGGTTGAGAAAGCTAGACCTTCACGGGCCCAGGTGAGTCATCAGAAAAGCAAAATAGCAGCTTGCATGTATGATTGGTAGGGCTTTAAATTACCATTGTAATAATGATTTATGTCTTTCCCTCTGACAGGAAAAGGAAGTACTAAATCGTGATAAATATAATTACCTGGCTTCTCTTCAGGTGGCTGCAGGTAAAGACACCCACATATCCTAAAAAAAGAAAATCCAGTTTGGTGTGAAAGAGAATGTTTAGCAAGTGCAGGCCATGTGCTACGTTGAGCTCTTTAACTATGTTAGCA